TACTCGCGGAGAGGTCGCTTGATTGGAAGGATANGTTTGTGGGCAGGTGGGGCTGGTGCCGAAGTGGCGAGACCGCTGGCGCTGTCCGCCTATGAAGCGTGTAAAGGGCGAATTGGCAGTCATTGGAACGACACCTGCAGTGGCCCGAGGTGCGGGTCGTCGTAGACAAAGAAAACGGCGCCGGCGCGATGAAGTCGCCCGGGCGGCTGCGAGCGGAGCATGAGACGACAACTCGGACGCGCTGTAGCGCAAGTGGCACGTACCTGCGAGCGGAGCATGAGACGACGGCGTCTCTGCTCTCGCTCGCGAGGCTATCTATATGGCACAGAGCATCGTGCTTTGTCCTGTCGCTGCCGCGACGAGGACAAAGCGTCGGAGTCACGTGGGCCTCGTCCGCATCGCGAAGACCCCGAACTTCAAAGAAGTTCGAACCATTCGGTCCTGCGATGTGGCCTGACTCGCGCGAAGATCCACCCGCGCGGGCTGGGGTAGGGCTATGTCAACTGTGCAACGGCTGTTGTACAGGCTGCGGCACTTAAGCATCTTCCAACATGACGGCCGCCGCGCACGGGGGAAGATTTCATGTGGAGTTTCGGTCGCCTTGGTACGCGTCCCCGAAGGACCTTCCAGAGAGGCTTCTGGACTTCCGGCACTACGCGTGCCGTTAGCATCATGCCTCCGCCTTCCTACGCTGATACAGTCCTGGGACCACGTCCTGCGTTGGAACGAAAATAAGCTGCTCGTATCAACACGTTGATGCTAACGTTTCTTATCCGCCGCAGATTGATTTCGCAGCGTTGCCCACGGACGCGCTGCATCGGTACCTCGCGCACTTTGACTTAATTCCGGATTTGGACCCGTCACCGTTGAGCGTCGAGGATCCTGGACCGCCGTCTTCTCTGTTGAAAGCGAAGAGCCATGTTCCGCTACACGGCCACTCTCTACGACAGGCGTCAACGGCAAGTCCGGGACCGGTTCCGACCGGAACAGCCGCCAATCGGCCGCGCCGCGATCCAGGGGCAAACAGACGGCGTAGCTCGCGTCTCGTGGAGGATGAGCGGTTCCCTGCCCCTCCGCCGGTATACGGAGACATTGCGGAGGTGGACGGTGTGCTTGCCGCGATCGCCGAGAGGCACTTCCGAGAGCAGGAGGTCAAGGAGGTGGACACGCTCGCGGCGTTCATGTGCGCGGTGCAGGCAAAGGGTGTGTGTTCTGCGTCTAAATGAGCCTGCGTTATTGGACGCGGGAGAGGATGTTGTGCTGATGGGCATGACGTATTGCAGCCCGACTGGCGTCCTAGGGCATCAGCCAATGAACGATCGCGGCCAGCCCGGCCACCACGCGGTCGGTGTCTTTAGCACGCGCATAGCGCTGGAAGTACTTCCCAAGGCGAAGGAGGCGAGGCTTGTGCCTCGCTCAGAATTGGCCTTCCGCGGCGCCCGGCACTCCCGTTCAATTTGGGCCTCGAGCACGATGTTCCCTTGACGACAGTCTGTACATGCCCCTCCTGGACGTTCGGCACTCTGTCAGATGCATCCTCGACACAGCACAATGCCGCGTCCTCGCTATCGTTCCGCCCCGTATATAAAGCGTCCGTCCTCGACCCAGCTCAGCATCCCTCCATCCTCTCATCCTTCCATCCTTCGCAGCAGAGCTGCCCGGTCTCGGTTACTGTAAGCACCTCAGATTCAGAGCAGCATTGGAGACACGCACTAATTATCTGTTCAGTTTAAACTTCTCAACCCGCCCCGGTCTATTCGCACTTTCCGAAGCTTGCTTCACGTCGACTCTCTACATCCACTCCAGTCATGCAGTTCTCCACCGTTTTCGCCGCTCTCCTCGCTCTCGTCCCCGCCGCCGTGCAGGCCACGCCTCTGGTGAGTTTGGCTTTTCCCACAGTCATACGGGCTGCGATCACTGATACGATCGACAGGCCGCACGCGCTGCCACGGCGGGCGGTAATGCCCAGACGTCCCTCAGTACGCGGTCCCGGTTACTCTCACCCGACACAACACGCTTACCCTTTCGTTCCGCACTCTAGCGCTCGTGCAGTCGGTCATCGCCACTGGCTTCGAGAACAACGGCCAGGACCAGCCGACTGCCGGCCAGGTGCCCTCGCTCACGTCGTCGAACAACTTCATCAACTTCTGCGCGACCGTCCCCAACCTGCCGATCACCAACGGCCTCCAGATCAAGACTGGTTCCTGCAACCCCGCCCCCATGGGCATCATCGCGTCCACGGCGAACATGCCCACGTCCAAGTTCATCTTCCCCACGAACGGCGGCACGATCGCGGCGAACAAGACGTTCACGATCCGGATGCAGATCAACCACCTCGAGACGGGCCACTTCGTGAACGCGAACGAGAACTACTTCTCGGCGCCGCAGGTCGTGAACGGCGCGGGCGACATCCAGGGCCACTCGCACGTCGTCATCGAGAGGCTGTCCTCGCTCGGCCAGACCACCGTGACGGACCCGCTGGGCTTCATCTTCTTCAAGGGCCTCAACGACAAGGCGCAGGGCAACGCGCAGGGCGGCGTCCTCAGCACCGACGTCACCGGCGGCCTCCCGTCCGGCACCTACCGCCTCGCGTCCATCAACTCGGCCGCGAACCACCAGCCGGTGCTCGTTGCTGTCGCGCAGCACGGTTCGCTCGACGACATGGTCTACGTGAGCATCCATCCTTGCGTCCACTCACTCTACTATGTACTCACGCGCCGCTTGCAGTTCACCGTCACCGACAACGGCTCCGTCGGCGGCCACTAATCGCCTCGCGCAACTGAGGTAGACCGGGCGGGCTCGGGTCCGCGGGTCGGTGGTGTCTTTCTTTCCGGTCGTCGGTTCTCGCGTCGCTCGATGTGGCGCGGGGCTGGGGCTGCTTTCATTCATGGCTGTCATTCATTGCCCATTGTTGTATCATTCGCTCTTTGTCATAATGTCTGGAGGTAGACTTGTAGATTGTGCTTAGTCGGCGCGACGCTGTGCGGATCGACCGCGGTCGTCTATGCAATAGACGGTTTTGGGTTTTGGGATCAGGATGGTGTGTTGTGTGTGTGCGCGCGTGCGACGTCTTCCGAGCGGTGGGTGTGGGCTTCACTCGGGGTCCCAGGAACAAGGCTGCTTCCTTCAAGTTCGTCTGTCTGATATAGCGGGGAAGATCCCTTCTTGGTGATGTGTTCTTGGTCCTTGAATAGAAGCGAGGTACAAATAGAGGAAGGGGCACGGAAGGTCTGTTCGGCTTATATACCCTGCCAAGGCCATCGGTGGCTGTACTTACAAACATCGTAGGACGGCTACCTAGGCGCCTGTAGGTTGTTGGGTTCAACAAGTACTTCCGTCACCATCCTCTCGCTCCAAGATCTATCACTCGATCGGTCTGAGAGCTTAAAGACGGCGACCGTCGCCACCTCATCTAGAACTCCAAATTTTGTGACGTGGACGCGATCACGAGCGCCCGAGAAGCGCCTGTATCGCGCGACGCGTCGCGGGATCGGTGGTAGCATGACAGTTTCGACGCGCATCCAGCTACGGACTACTTCTATGACTCGCGTTGTTTCCATCTCGCTATGTGCTTCTTCGCTTCTCCGGACCCTCTCGCTCTCTTCCTGTCGGGCGGAACGACTCCGCGCCGAGTAAACTTCGAGATCGACGCGCCGCGCGGGTGACAGAAAGCTGGTCCCGTCGCATCGAAGATATTGCCTCCTGCCTCATACGGCCTCATATGTACGTGATTATAACTTATGGCGAAGCGGCGCGAGGGCCTCGATCGACCGAGAGAACGGTTGTGGGGCCGCGTTTTGGTACTTAGAGGCGAGATCCCGCCTCCGAATGGATCCTGGTTTTCCTCCCCTCGTTTAAACCACAAACTGTGTGTGTCCGACTGTCTTCGTATTATCGCCTCATCGACCGCATCGACCGCAACATATCTCCTGTCTTCTTCGATCATCGACTCCCATCGTTCAAGTTCGCTCTCGCAAGTGCGACTCGCGTTTCTCGCAGAAGACTTTCCCCCGCATCGCGTGAGTAGCACGAGAACGTCACGGTATAATATTGCTAAACGTCTCTAGGTACAGCTCGAGCCCGTACCTCCCTTCGTCGAGGGGACCTCACTCGAACCTACTCGCGTCGAACGAGCTCCCCAACGAACACTCACATTTTCCCTACCACACCGACGACGTATATTCGTTCGAGAATACTGTCTATATCGAGAATCAACCAAAGGCGCCTTCACGCGGTAGAGTCTCTCGCAGTGCGGTACGTCTCTAATAAACCTCTCAGGATGATGAGTCAGGTCTGCTGACGGATACTTCCAAAGGATGGTTAACGTTCCTCGATACATATTTGAAAGGCAACCGGGAACTCAATCCAGTGCGGCCATCCGCGACGAGTACCTGTCTCCTTGCAAGGATGCAACTCTCTGGTGGCATCCTGACCGACAGAGAACGACCACCGAACGCGCTGGCAGCGCATACAGGCAGCCGCACCATTCTGTTGCCCGCATCGCCCCTGTTCTTCCCCTGAGAGTCTACGAGGGCCCTCGACCATTGCGTGGCTACACCCGTATCCCCCGCCTTCCGGGGCGCGCCGCGGGAGGCGCAAGAGACGGTCTTGGAAGCATACGGCGCGTGTGTGGACGATGCGGTGGTGGCGATGCAGACAAAGATTCAGCTGGGGCTCGAACTGTGCTCCACCTGGGCAGCGGGCCGGCAGGATCTGCCCATGCTCCGCAGAGCCGTACGGACATCTCTACGCATTGGCGTTGGCACTGGGGTGCGCGCGTCTGTCCAGTGGTTAGGTTCAAGCTCGCGGCATGGGAGTCCTATGGATAGCTTTTCGAGGGCTCCGATCTAGAGGAACGACTTGTGGCAGTGGTCAGTCTGAAGGCTGTCGCGTGACCCGGGGACGTGCAGCGACAGCTCCGAGTCCTCGAGCCTGTTAAGGGGTTGTGGGCATCACCTCGCGCAGGTCACGGTGTAGTGCCCGCAGAATGCATAGCACAAACTCATCGTTTTTTTAGTTTCCCTGCTTATATGTACGCGTCCCCGAGGGACATTTACAGGGAGTCTTCTGCACTTGCGGAACTGCTACGCATGCCGTTAGCATCACGCTTCGGCCGTCTTCCTTCGGAGTTCGGTAACACAGTCCTGGTGCGTTGATACGAAAATAAACCGCCCGTATCAGCATGTTGATGCTAACGTCTGCTGTCTGCCCGCAGATTGATTTCACAGCGTTGCCCATGGACATCGGACGAGCTGCCTCCGACGCACTTTGACTTGATCTCGGACCTGGATCCGTCAAGGTCGAGCGTCGAGGATCCTGTATCGCCTGCATCGCTGCCACCCAGGTTGAAAGCGAAGAGCCCTGTCCTGCTGCACGGCCACGCTCTGCGACAGGCGACAGGCGTCAACGGCAAGTCCGGGACCTGTCCCGACCGGAATAGCCGCCAACCGCTCACCATCCACGAGTGGTTCCTTGCCCGTCCGCGAGTGTATTGAGACACTGCGAAGGTAGGCGGGGCGCACGCTTGCCGCGACTCTGGCCGAACGGCAAGTATTTCGGGGAGGAGAGCAGAAGGTAGTGGACACGCTCGCGGCGTTGTGTGTGCGACGGAGCAGGCAAAGGTGGTCTGCACTGTGTCTAAAGTGTCTAACTGAGGCCGCATAATTGGACAGGGAGTGCTGATGGGCATGACGTATGGCAGCTTGACGGGCGTCCTAGGGTCTCCGGCCAATCAGCAATTGCGGCTAGCTCGGCGACGATAGAGTCGGTATCTATAGCAGGCGCCCAGCGCTCGAGGTAATTCCCAAGGCGAAGCAGGCAAGGTTCGGACGACGCTCAGAATTGGCCCTCCGCGATCTGCCAACGCTCGGCTGAGTGCCCCAATTATAGCGTCGAGTAGGAGTTCCCCTGGCGACAGTCTGTACGTGCCCCTCCTGGACGTACGGCACTCTGTCAGATGCACCCTCGACACAGCACAATGCCCGCGCCTTCCCTGTCATCCCGCCGCTTATATACCCCCAATCTTCGCCATGGCTCATCATCCCCCTCTCCTCTCTTCCCTCCTTCCATCTTTTGCAGCCGTGCTGCCTGGTCCCGGTTACTGTAAGCACCTCGCTCTCCGAGCAACATTCGGGGCATCCACTGACATGCCTTCCAGTTTAAACTTCCCCACCCTCCCCGGTCTTTTCGCCTTTCGAAGCTTGCTTCACGTCGACTTTCCACATTCACTCCAGTCATGAAGTTCTCCACCGCTTTCGCCGCTCTCCTTGCTCTCGTCCCCGCCGCTGTGCAGGCTTCACCTCTGGTAAATTTCCTCTTTCCCACACCCGAGCTGCGGTCATTAACTTAAGATCGACAGGCCGAACGCGCCGCCCCTCCTACCGCTGTTTCGTCCGGTTCTTCCACGACGGGCGGTGATCCCCAGAAGTCCCTGAGTACGCGCCTTTCATCAAGCTCGCTAGCGCATCATGCTCATCTTTGTTACTCCACACTTCAGCGCTTGTGCAGTCCGTCATCGCCACCGGCTTTGAGAACGATGGACAGGACCAACCGACTGCCGGCCAGGTGCCCTCGCTCACGTCGTCGAACAACTTCATCAACTTCTGCGCGACCGTGCCCAACCTGCCGATCACGAACGGCCTGCAGATCAAGACTGGCTCCTGCAACCCGGCACCGATGGGTGTGATTGCGTCCACGGCGAACATGCCCTCGTCCAAGTTCGTCTTCCCCAAGAACGGCGCGACCATCCCCGCGAACCAGAACTTCACGATCCAGATGGCGATCAGCCACCTCGAGACCGGGCACTTCGTGAACGCGAACGAGAACTACTTCTCGGCGCCGCAGGTCGTGAACAGCGCGGGCGACATCCAGGGCCACTCGCACGTCGTCGTCGACAAGCTCACCTCGCTCGACCAGACCACCCCCACGGACCCCCTGAACGGCTTCGTGTTCTTCAAGGGCCTCAACGACCCCGCGGCGAACGGCGTCCTGTCCACTGTTGTCGCTGGTGGTCTCCCCGCTGGTACCTACCGTCTCGCGTCCATCAACTCGGCCGCGAACCACCAGCCCGCGCTCGTGGCCATCGCACAGCACGGCTCCCTCGACGACATGGTCTACGTGAGTCTTCCCTCCTCCCTCCACTCTATCATCCACTAACTGGCCGCCCTTAGTTCACCGTCTCGGACGCCGGCGCCGCGGCTCCCCCCGCGTCCAGCGCGGCAGCAGCTCCCCCCGCCGCCTCGACGACCGCCGCCGCCGCCAAGTCCACCGCGACCGTCGGCGCGATCAAGGGCTCGAACACCGGCAAGACGCCCGGAAACCAGGGCGGCTTCGGTGGCAAGGGCAACAACCAGGCAGCCGCGCCCCCGTCCGCGAACAAGCCCTCGAACGGGTTCGGCCGCGGGGGCTTCCGCAACGGCCGCCGTGCGCTCTGAGCGCTGCGCGCCCTGCTCTGCTCCCCGTCGCGCTTTAAAACCACCTAATTTGTTCGCGCGGCAGGGGTAGCTTCTTGGGTCGGTGGTTGGCTGCTCTCGCGTCGCTCGATGTGGCGCGAGACTGAGGGTCTCGGTTTGCGGTTGTCACTCGTTGCCCGCTGTTGTATCTTTCGCTCTTTTGCTTTCTGTGTCTGGATGTAGCTTATGCTTAGTCGGCGCGACGCTGTGCGGATCGACCGCGGCCGTCTTCCCCTTGCGCAATAGACGGTTTTGGGTTCCGGGACCAATGTGTTGTGTGCGTGTGCGTGCGACGGCTTACCTGATTCTCGGTGTGGTGCAGCGGCGAGGTGGTTCGTGTCCCGGGAACATGGGATGCTTCCTGCGTCTGTTTGTGATATGGTGGGCAAGGGCCTTTCCTGGCGGGGTATCCGCGTCTGTAAATAGCTAACGAGAGGCTGAAAATAGAGGAGTGCTATTCTCGGGCACGGATGAGCACTTTTTCCGTTATACTAGGTGCCTTGAAAGCGGTGCCGATGAGGGGTGCGAGGTCGGCCCGGATGATTGGAAAAACCGTAGATCTGCATGCAAGTGGTCGGCGACAGATGTGTGTACACGAGCTTAGAGTTACCAGAGTCTACGAGCCCAAAAGAAACCGACCATACACTCCGCCCATCGACCGAGCGCGTTATCCGCCCCGCTGCGCTCTCCAAAACCCTGCTTCTGCATCTGCGCCCTCGGCCGACTCGGACTCGGACGCGTCCCCGGCATCAAACCGTCGCACGATGCCATAGTAATGCGCGCGCCCTGCCCCGTACTTTTCCCGCACGCCCTCGTACGCAGCCGTGATGCCTTCGACCACCGCCTCCCCGGACGCTGTGTCGGCGTTCTCGGAGGGAGGAAGAGGAAGAGGGCAGAGGTGGCGCGCGAGGAGGGCGCCGAGGGAGAGGCCCGAGTTTAGGGAGGTGATGATGCCCTGCGAGGAGAGCGGGTCGAAGGCGAGCGCGGCGTCGCCGACTGCGCACCAGCCGCGGCCTCGCGCGCTAGGGTTCAAGGGGTGCGTAGGGGGCTCCCAGACGGCGTAGGGCTCTAGCACGGACGACCCGGCCGCGGTGCACCGCGTAAACCGCGTCTCTGCGCCGCACGCCTCGTACACCGGTGCTGCTGCACAGTGCTCCAAGTCGGCGGTATCGGTATCGGGATCCGGCCCGAGACCGAGGGCGCGCGCGATGTGCTGCGTCTGGGAGGCGAGCATGTCGGTGAAGCCGGTGGTGGTGCGCGCGACGCGCGCGGTGGGGTCGGAGGGGGTGGTGGTGTATGTGACGAGCCGTTTGTTGTGAGGGAGGCGTGCGGTGTACCACCATCCGGAGGGTGCGGCTTCGATGAGCGTCCGGTCGTCGCGGTCGGGCTGCGAGGCGTCGCTATCGGGGGTGCTGAAGACGATGTAGAAGGCGAGGAGGTCGTGGGTCTTTCGCTGGGTTGCGCCGAGCTGGGATTCAAGAGGTGAGCGCTCTGACCTATGGATAATGCGATGGTGTGTCTCACTGACCTTGCGTGCGACAGATGCCCTCCGGCCTGTCGCGTCCACGACCCACCCCGTACAAAAAGTATCCAGCTCGCCTGACTCCCGCATCTCCACGTCTACCTCCCAGCCATACGACGCCTCGGGTCCGTCCATTCGCCGGATCGCCACGAACTTGCCCTTTCGTACACCGTCCTGACACGCCTCACGGAGCGTCTCGTCGAACCGCGCACGGTCGAGATGCCACCCCTCCCCGTAAGGGTTCATGAGGGAGTACGTTTCGTGGAGACGCTCGCTCGCCCACGCGGATGCGTTGCCTGTGCAGGGAAGGTGTAGGCCGAGTTTCGTGTCCTCTGTGATGCGCGAGAGTAGGGATGGGTCGAGCAGGGAAAGTGTGCGCTTGGCCGCGGCGGGCAGAGACTCCCCGACCTGGGGGTGAAGGTGAACGAGACTTGGGCTGGATGCACAGAGAGCGCACCTTGAACGCGTCGGGATCGGCATCGTCGATCACGAGTACACGGAGTTGGTTGGAAGTATCGTGGCGTGCGATTGAGAGGGCGGTCGCACATCCTGCGGGCCCTCCACCTAGGATGATAACTAGGGGCCAAGTCATGAGTGACAACCTACGGATAGATATGAAAACTAGCTACGCACCGTCAAAGTGCAGCCTTGAGGCTGCCATGGAGTGGGGCCGCTGGGGGAGGTTTGCTTTGGGTATGCTGCACAGACGAACTGGCGAGTCCTGCAACCCCCAACGTTCGGTTGACTCGCTAGCTAATCCTTGCTCTGCGATTGGACGACTTGAGAGTACGCCGCTAACACGTACACTTGTGTAGAGATCGACGCAGATCGACACCTACAGGGAAGAGTGTTCCTGTGCACACTGGAACTCAAACCGCCTGCACGAACGTGAGCCCGGCCAGGTGACGCCTAGACACCGAGGGTCGTGCATCTACTACTCGTGATGCGGCGACGGCGTTCATGAACTGGACAACACGATGCCTTTGTTGACCGACGGCCCGGTAGAGGTTCCGTGCGTAGACAGCTTCGATGTTGTGGTGGAGGAACCCAGACTTACCCGGTGTGCAGGCCTCAGGTCCGGGAATCACATATCGCCGGATCCATTGGAGCGTGTACTGTACGGCTTCGGTTCGTGAAGGCACACGTGTAGCCGTTCATTTACGTGCATACCCGTAGACCGTGACAGCGCGAAAGACTCGCTGTCGTATATAGGCACTGAAGTACAGATAATGAATTCGGTGTGTGTTCCTGGAGAAAACTCACATGATGCCTCGAGCTGGGGTACAACTTGAAGGGACAGGCACGAGGTGGATGTGATTCCACGCAAAGCATGGAAGATGTCGAAGTATGCTCTCCGCTGCTCGACTGATTTCCGCCGCGAAGGACCCTCGGAGTAAACAACAGTTGGCGGGGGCACTCGAAGACGACGGTGCTCACCTGATTAGAGAGGTTCGCGTTCCTCCCCTGATGGCTCGGATGTCTGGGCGTCACTGAGGGCAAATGCGTATATGGTCCTTCGTAGGTGTCAGCGTGAACGCTCAAGTCTCGAGTCGCACCTGTGGAACTCTGAGAGAACGTATCGTCGTCGTACACCATGCCTAAGCCCGAGCCTCCCGCCCTCATACCCTTCGAGCCTGTCAAGAGCGCCCCGCAAGGGGGCAAATGGACGAAGCAGGACCTCGTTGACCACGTCAAAACGGTGCGTACCTTTGAGGTTCAGCGCGAGCTACATGCGTGCTCACTCCATCTCTACGCGCGGGATTGCAGGCGATGGCCGTCGAGCTTGGTACTTTGCCCATCTACTTCTGTGCCCTGTACAGCATCCACCGTGACAACGGCGGTGTGGGCTCGAAGGCCCGCGCACACATCCTTTGTACGTACCCCCTGATAGCGCTATTCGATGTTTGTCCTGAAAGGCGAGCGTTTCACAGCGATCGCCGAGCAGGAGATGTTGCACCTTGCACTTGCGGGCAACATGCTGTGCTCGCTCGACGGCAAACAGGCGCTCTACGACAAGTGCTTCATGCCGACGTACCCGTCGGAGATCTTGTTCGACAAGATACCGATGAAGCTCCAGCCGGCCAACAAGGAGAACCTGGAATGCTTTTTGAAGGTGAGCGCGATGTCTCGTTTGTCCGAGCCAAGCGCTGACGGAGGGTCAGATCGAAGCTCCGTATATGCCGCCGCCAGTCCCGCCGCCCGAGCCGCTCATGTTCACGGCCATGGCTATGGCCATCGAACCAAAGTCATTCATACCTGAGTACCGCAGTATCGGGCAGTTCTACAACAACGTCGAAGCGGGTGAGTCTATGTGCGACGCTCAGCGCAGGCACGGACTGACTTTTGCAAAAGGCATCCAAGAACTCTCTGCTAAAGACCCGGATCTGTTCTCCGGCAGCAGAGCGAACCAGCTGCGGGGCTCCGAGTTCTTCGATAGCAAGATGACCGTCGTCTACGACAAGGTCACCGCGCTCGAGGCGCTCACCACGATCGTCGACCAGGGCGAAGGTAGCATCGGTATCCCAGAGTCGCACTACACCATCTTCGTCGACCTCTATCAGCAGCACAAGCAATGGCGATGCGTGGACTACGTCGACGAGCCGAGCACGGCCGCGTACGAGAGCAAGAACAAAGTCGCCTATCATGTGAGTCCACTTTCATGGGATGCAGAGCGGACACTCACCTCAGTGGATGCTGCAGCTTTCGCGCGCCGTGGACGCGTCGTACTGCTTCCTGCTGCAGACCATCGATCGCTGTTGGGAGGGCTCCGTGGCAGACGGCGCTGGGCGCAAGCAGCTCCTCCGCAACATCCACCAGCTGATGGTTGAGGTCCTTTCCCCTACCGCCCACGTCCTGGTGCAACAGCGCATTGGCAACAAGTTCGCAGCGCCGTGCTTCGAGTTCTACCCCCAGGAAGACGGGCTGCCGCTGCCACCGAGACAGTTGTTCGAGGCGCTCAAGAAGGAGATTGACGCGGCGCAGAAGGCGATTGATCCTAAAGACTCTACCTTGAAGGATAGCGCTGCCGCCATCGGGAGGATCGCGTTCTGCCTGAACAACTTCAGGGCGGTCTAGTTCCCCACTCGTCGCCGATAGTCACCCCATGAATTTGTCGAGGCCGCGGCCGTGGTAGTCGTGTGTAGGCTGGTATAGGGTTGTACAGTGATAGTGTTTGTCATTCCGTCGTTGTACGCTGAAACATATGATTTGTCGTGAGATTGCCAGCGTGTTTGGTTCAAGAATCATCGGGTAACTGGTTACCGAGAACTTGCGACGGAACAGTGACGAAACTGGTTGGGTATTGACGTGTGTTTGGCTGCCTATAGATGGGCGCTTCTCACGAAATGATGATTATCTGCACCGCGGCGGGCCTGCAGAGTGACCAGTGGCAGTAGTTGCCGCCAATTGCAAGTTCGACCCCATTGCTCTCCCTTCAACGTTCAATTACTGCCGGCCTTGTCCAATCGATATCGCGTATCCACGTAATTCCACTCGCATGTCATATGGCAGTGGTGGGAGTCGCGTCCTGACGAGAAGACTTCCATACTCAACTTCAGAGCTGGGAGTGTCATTTGTCGCTTCTCTTACGGGGAATCTCCTGCAGTACGTGTAATCCATTTTCTAAGCGAATTTTCTGCTCAACCTAATATCAACCGTGGCAGTAGTGGCTCGCTCGATCTCGACTGCTCCGCATGGCGTGACTTGCTTGTACACTGAAGTCCAAGACGTGTCGTTCTGACGTTTCTTCCAGATCGAACAATGCTCGCATGCGTATACGGCGAGTCCTCATATCCGTATGCTTCTTTTCCCGGTGGATATTGGCATGCCAGATGCATGATGGAACCACCGGAACCCCCGGAGGACCCTCGAACGTGCTGCTCAAGCGTTCGCCGCTCGCTGTCATCGGCAAGAAGAGGAGACATGCACGCTCTTCAAACGGGCCTGTGACTGTGCATGTGAGCGACCTCGTTTTTTGCGCGATAATCCGAGGGGTGGTCCGGGCGTCCATCCCAAGTTGCAGAGATGCGCCTCTTAAACTGGTCGAACGACCCCATCACCCAACCCCCGCAATCCCCTCCGTCCGATAGACCACCCCCCGTCCATGGCAGATACTCTGAAGTTTCCGACACCCCCGCAAGGGTACAGAGTCGATCCAGCAAAGATCGCTCGCGTCGAGATTTTCCCGCCCATAGGTATCGCCCGTGTGGGCAACTCTGGTGCGACTGACACAGGCGAGCCCGACCCCAAGAGCAAGATCGAGTTCTTCTACGGCCCTGAGGTCCCTGGCATCACGGACGTCCCTCATGTCTTTGGCGTCCGCGAATGGTCCTTCAGGGACGGCAGTGGCAAGATTAAACGCCAGGTATGTACCGGCGAAGTTGCATCGTCACCTGCACAGAGGTGTCACTCACGCCTACTCTACTGTTCTCTCTAGGCGGTGAGGTTCCGTGTTTACGCATATGACAAGGCCGGCAATGTGCTCGGTGAGATCAACAACAACGGTGGCTATACGCTCAACTGGTCCGTCCACGTTGCGAACAAGAAGGCCGCCTTCTACTGCTTTAGCGGTACGTTTGGCGGAACATCCTAGTCTTTCACACCATTCTGATGGCACGGCTGCTTTTAGGACGCCTCCGTCCACGTAACACTAATCTGCGTAACCCAGATGTAGACTCAGAGCCTGCCGTACGTAGACTGAACATCTCGAGTGCAACCTGTGAGATACTCACACATTGTCTTGCAGAAGGGAGGGGAGTTGTCGGGCGATCCCTTCGACCAGTCTCTCGAGGGCCGCAAGAAGCTGATCGTGGATCCCGGCTGTCAGAAGATCGCTCGTAGCATCAATGCGCAGGGAGAGGTGACTCCCGTCCAGCTCAAGGGCAAATTTCAGGGCTCCTTGCCCAATGCGTCCGACGCTGTCGACGTCACGCTGGGCGAGTTGCGCACCGACCCCGCCGGCCGGCTGGTCTTCATCGGTGGCAGCGGTGTCGCGCGCTCGATCCAGGGTCCTGGTGCGACCACGAAGCTCGTGCAGCCCGAGATCATATCCGAGTTCGACAGCCTTGACTGGATCGACTCCGTCTGCGACGGCTGGGTTGATGTCCAGGTGGGGCATGCGAAGAGACCCAACCTGGCGCGCGAGTGCGTGTCTCGGCTTTGTTTTTCGCTCTCGAACTAGTGCTAAGCACGCTGCCCTAGAATCCCGCGGCCGCACAAGGCGACTGTCCTGAGCGCTCCGCCGAAATTCGCGTGGGGCATCGACTCCCCTGTAACGCTCTACGACATCATGGAGAACTTCTACAAAGACGAGATGTCCTACGTCGAGCATAGCGGCACAGACTTCTACAAGGACATCTGGCCGGTACTCGCGGGCACCTACCGACTTGCTTGGGTGAACGCGAAGGCCTTCCAAGGACACGGTAAGTCTACTGCGTTAGAGGTGGTGTGTGTTGGTGCTCACCGTTCACCAGGGCCTCGGGGGTACGGCGACTTCCTCCCCAAGGAGAGCGACCTCTCGACCCCGAATGGAGATCCGGCACAGCGCCAACACATCTTTGGGAGGCTGCGCGAGCCGAACTTCCGTAACCAGGACCAGGCGCACGTCATTCTCATGCCTCGTCTCTCGGGTGATAATGGTGAGCCCGCGCATTCGTCGGTGTACGCGTACGTGCCCTGATATGGTGCACCGGTCGTGTAGGCGACGCGGTTGAGCCAGGGACAACGAACGACATCGTTGGCGAACCTATTCAGCGCTTCTCTGCGCTGACTGAGGTGCAGTATAACCGCTTCAAGGACTGGAAGGATGGGAAGTTCGTCACCGGGACGCCATACGGGACCAAGAAGTTCATCGAGGAGTACGACAAGGCTGAGCAGCCGGTTCTCCTGACGCGTGCAATGCTCGAGCAGACAATCGGCGACCCCCTCTACCCCGGTATCGAGGTGTACTGGATCGCGAAACTCGCAGAGGTGTACGACTTTAGCAGCGACCTCAAGAGCCTGCACCCACCGTTCCGCATCGACCACACCAAGGCGCTGCCCGGCTTCCTGTCGCGCGGGCTGAGTTTGCCTTGGCAGAGCGACTTCGACTTGTGCAATACCCATTGGCAAGTCACGCGATTTGACCAGTAGGGCGCTGCCGTTGCTGACATCTGCTCGCTTGGAACAGGTGGCCTTCCGCGCGGCCGGACGATGTCTTCGTCTTGCCCGGGACCGAATCCCTTGGGCCGGACGGCGTGGCGCATGGCGTCAGCTTGGAGGACTTCATGAACCCGGCCGTGCCTGGCATAGACGATATGGCGTTGATCGCTACGAATGCGCCGCGACGCAAGGGTTGGGCGCGGGGTTTGCGCGACACCCCTGAGGGTGAGCCAGGTCTCATACGGCCATCTGAGAACACGCATGCTAACTTCTGGGCCGCAGAGACGTCGGCTTCGTTCTTCCCCGGGAGCACGGACATGGTTCAGTTTTGGACCAGATTGGGGTTCGTGAAGAAGCTTGAGCTGGGTCCCGCCACTCAAGGAAAGATCGGCGCAGGGCGCGGGGCTGCTAAGCAGGCTCCCCCCAGTGTTTGGGTCGAGCGGGAGCGCCAGGACATCAACGGGTTCACTTGATATGTTGTAGTCCGAGTCTGCCGTTCACTCCGTCTGTTCACGTCCAGCGAGCGTGGCGTGGTGTGGCCATCGTCGCCGTGTTGCAACCCAATGTATAGTTACCCATAGCATGTACCAAGCCTGAGAGCATCATCTTCGAAAAATACGATTGCCTACGAGTGCTTGAAGAAGTTGTCTGTTGAGAAATCAGCGGCGCAGGATGGTGAGGCGTGCCCCATGAAATACGAAGGCCCAGTACAGACGAACTTGAGGTCTAGGCTCTGTCGATCCTAGTAGTAGTACCGTCCGACTTGCCCGATATGGGATGCTGTCCCGGGGAAATGACGTCACGCACGTGCTCTTAGCCATCTGGGCAGAATCTCCGCCCGGACGCCCGGACTCGGAGCCTGGCTAAAGTCGAGAGACCGTTCCATCCCTTTAATTGCTACCACCACCATCCCTCCTCCTTCATCATCCCCACACACAGCATGAGTCTTCTTCAAGGCGTTCTGCGCACGCAAACCCTGGAGTCGCTGGACAAGCAGCTCGGGGCACATTCGGAATCAAACAACGGGCGCACGCACCCTAACGGTGACCGGGATGAAGACGACGACGAGCTAGTCAACGTCGTGAGTATAGCCATAATCTGTGTCATTGGTGGTCGTTGACTCTTCCCCCCAGGTATCTCTCCCCGGTACCCCCGTGCAGTCCAGGCCAACATCTCGTCCTGGCTCCCGCCCGCAGTCCCCCACCCGGAGAGGTGCACGTCCGAGCCCTCTCCAGCCCATGACCGCCCAGAAGACAGTCTCGAGGGACCCATTGCGAGCACTACCCACGGATGTGTCCCAGCGCATCTTCTCGCAGCTCTCTATCCGTGATCTCTCCCGGTGCTCGCGAGTCTCAAAGAAGTGGAACAAGAGCCAGACGTTAAACTATGGTGAGCATTACTCAGCAACGGGAGAGGGCACAGGGTTGTTGACTCAAGGGCTGCGCAGTCTGGTTCCAACATTATCGGAAGGAGAACTTCCATGACGAGAGCTTGCCTCCTGGCAAGTGGACGAAGCGCGAGTCTAAGCAGAACTGGGTACGTCGAGTTGGGCGGCAATGTGGCTAAGTTGATACTGAGAGGTACCATCCCCTTCAGCGCACCGTCTTCCTCGGAAGCGTACCTACCCGTGACCCTCCGAGCCTTTCTCGCTCAGGCTATGAGTCCCCTCGCTCCGGCCAGCAAACTCCTCGCGAGATGCGGGAGGAGAAGTGGAAGCAGGACGCCGAGGCCACTGCGAAACCCAACAAGGTCGAGATGCGCGAGATGTACAAGGAACTCGGCGGGAGGAAGGCCCGAGGCAAGGGCAAACTCGGCGGTACTGGCGGGATGCGCGACCGCGGCGGTTGGGGAGAAGGCGACGAGTTCTAAGACACAGGCCTTTCGCCGTCCTCGTTCGTCCAAAGAGACGATGTAACGCCAAATTATGACCTCGCCAGGAACTGTAGCTTGGATTCGGATGCGTATTGTAAAGTATTCCTATCTGCCCTTGTAGAATTAGAAGTATGTAAAGATGGCCACCATACAGCGAAAGATATCGCGCAATGTAGACGTACTCTCTCTTTCCCCGCAGGGCCCTGTCTGAATTGCAGAGGTGTGATTGGTTGTGATCGAGCCAGTTGTGCGATCTCGATCTAGGGTCGATCTCGGTTGAGAAAGCGATGAGCATCCGTAATTGGAAGCGGGCAGTTGGTTCAGAACCACCACCACCTCCTTCTTCTCTGTCTTCTCCAGCTCGTCTTCCTTGACTTTGGGTATTGTCGTGTACATTTACATCATTCTCTCAGGACACCATGGCAGCCAGGGTGTCTGCTCCGCTTTTGCCAGTTCCCTCTACGCTTGAAACTGTACGTCGAGTCGCGTCCTTGGTCCAGACATTCAAGCGAGGATTGCTGACACTTCACTATCGTCATTGCAGGTCTTTGAAGACTCGCGATCCGAACCACCGATGCCCCCTTTGTCGAGCGGGACGTTGTACGGAGAGACTGAGTCCTCCATGCAGACCCTCAATACGCTAGTACGTGCTCGCATCTCATACACCTGAGCACATGCCGATGACACTCTGTGCGCAGCCATCGCTGTCGCGAATGAAGAGCTTGGGACATATGGTTGCTTCTAGATCACACGCGAGCACGGGCTCTGGAACCAGTTGGCGAGACGTTCCTTTACCTCGCGAGCCGAGTTTTGAGGTAGATGTGAGTACATATCTGTAGCAAGGACTGACATGTTCGCTGAACGGCACTTCCACCCTTTCAGCAGGTTGGCGATATCCGGGCAGTAGACTCAGGGTGGCTCGATGACGACGTCGAGGTACGCAAATTATCCGCGTTGCGATTCCCACTAAGTAACAGCATGGCCCATCTTTAGGAAGTAATGGTCGTCAAGAAAAAGCGTAAACCGCTCAGCGTTATCATCGAGGCAACTGAGGGCATGCACCGCAGTCCCATCAAAGTCAGTAACAACTCGCCAAGAGGGCGGTACCGCTGGGCTCACTTTTTTGAACAGCCTAAAGCCGGGAGTGCGATCGACGCGTCAAGCTTTGAGTACATCCGGACCCTTGAAGTCGGGGAAACCGGAGAGTCCCTCATTGCGCGCAAAGCAGACACCGGGAAGGTGCATACGGTGAAGTTGGTCAGGAAATCCGGACACAACGCGGCGGGGCTCGCGACGCGCATCGCGAGTGAGCAGAAGATCCTCCGAGTATCGACAGAGTGCTGCGTGCCATTCGTCGTAAGCTTGTTCTGGAGCTTTGAGGATGAGCGCGCGATGTACTTGGTCATTGTGAGTGTCTCTTAGCATGTCTGTCTCATGTTGTTGACCGCTTGGTGCCAGGACCGGACGGACGGGAGGAATCTGCGGACTATCATTGAGACGCAAGGGCCGTTGACCTCGCAAGAAGCAGTCCTATGCGCTGCAGAATTGGTAAGTAACACACATTGCGCCTTGTTTACGCACTCATGAGTCCTCCTTAGGTCGAAGGCATCTCTGGGCTGCATGCGCTAGGGATCGTCCATGCCACTTTGACCCCGGAGAGCATTCTCGTCGGCGAAGACGGACATGTATTCATTTCCGACTTCGACGATTCCGTCTTCCTCCACGATGACGTTGAGAGACACAACCAACCGCAGGCGGCACCGTCTCTGATCTGTCTGGAATACCAAGCACCGGAGATGATACTGGGCTGGGAACACGACTACGCCGTGGACTGGTGGAGCTTCGGACTGGTGCTCTACTGGACCTTGACCGGCAACGTACGTGGTCCTGTCGCCATTCACCGATGGAATAACTTTGAACTTTTGAACCTGCAGCACCCGTTCGTCAACCTGAGGGAGACGGAACACCCGTCTATCGTGCGGAGTAAAGTTCTGCATGCGAGGTTGACGGACGACCGCCTGGGTATGGATGAAGATGTGTATCAACTCATCGCACGTGTACATTTTCGCCATTGTCTGGCAGTCGTAGCCTCCCCTCAATCTCTTTGCAGTGTCTTCAGCGAAATCCTGCCCTTCGCATTGACGGACCTGGGGCGAGAATGCACGCATACTTCCACGACATGTGAGTCAATTCAGCTCCTCTGCTTCACCATCAGTGACTGAAGCGTACTTTCTAGCAACTGGGAAGATATTGTGACTAAGCAGATTGAAGGTAAGGTCGGCCGAACAAGGTGCTCATCTGTACTGACAGTATCCTAGCGCCATTTGCTAGGCACGAACATCCTATTCTGCAGGACCTAGACGGCCAGGATTCAGATCCAGAGGAGAGCCCGGTCATGCAAGACAGCCCCACTGCACTGGCCCTAGCCCAGGCATCTGAGTCCTTTGCATTCGACTGGCAACACGCCTCTTCGCCGTTTGAAGCCTCTGCGTCCTCTGAACTATCTGCAGTCCGCGAACATCTGCAGGCTCTACGGAACGACCATGGACCTAGTGACGTCACTATCACACCTGAGAACTGTAAAAGATCTTCTCCTAAGGTCGACATTCAAGCCTCAGACTCTGGCGACTGCGTTGTGGAAGAACAGTATCACGAGTCACCCTCTGGAGAGTTTGGAGCGCTACCTGCTGGAGTCTCTGGGTCGTCTGCTAAGATCGGCAACCTGAGGCGGTACTCCAGTCTCAACTTTGACTTGCAAAGCTCGGTATCTGGCATGTCACTGGCAGCCGCCGTTGAGGATCTCGCTGGGGGACCTACACCTTCTCCTGTGCACTTGCGTCACGCTAGGTCTTTCTTGGGGCTCTCTCTCGGAAGCAACGACGAAAATCTAGGCGGCCCGAGCTGGACGAATAAACTGCGGCGACGGACTCCTCGCCCGGAAACGCCTCCTCCAGTGCCGCCGGTACCAGCACCGGTCCAAGAACTGCCGAAGGGTGTGCGCCAGATGGGCAACGGTATCGGCTACACGCGGCGAGCAGAGGCGCGTCGCTCGGTCCTGGGCCTGGCGAGCCTCACCCCGCGGACGTGCCAGGCCATGTTCAGCGGGCGGCTCCCGCGGTTCGGCGGGAAGCGCAAGCAGAAGGACACGAACGAGCCGGAGCAGCGCGACCAGGCCGCGGAGGACGACGACGACGCGGACGACCCCATGGACGAAGTCATGCGCGAGATATACGGGGACGACTGGGCCGGGGGCGACTCGCCGGCGGACTTGCGCCCGACTGCGAGGCTGCAGCCTGACCGCGGCCGGGGTGGGATTGGGCTGGGCTGGGATAATTCGTTGACAAGGGATGGGACGCCGCCGGTGGACGCGTCGTTTGCGGGCGCGGATAGTACGTTGAGGTTGGTCTCGCCGTCGACTCCGCGGTTGGGTCTGTATTAGCGGCTGGCTCGTGCATGGGGAGGAGGCGGCTATGTGTCTGATTGGGGCCTTTTATCTTATGTCTGGACTCTAATGTGGAGTGTTAATCGGGCTTCGCATGTTTCAAGCCTATCGATACCTGCGAAAGCGAGGTGCTACTGTCCTCGAAGTGGGAACGCGTGCCTACAGGCTTTCGAGGAGGGCTAACGGCTTCGCGGACCGTGAGCGGTCCGCCGGTGGCGAGCAGGACGTTTGGCAGCATTTCGACAGCCTGCGCAATGTCGGCTTTCAGCACGATGAGGACCGCAAGTATGAGGGAATATCATCGGGGCGCCATAAAGACGAATACTAAAAAATTTGGACTGCCGTGGAAGCTGATTTCACGCTCACCTTTCCAATGGCCAGCCACATCTGCCAGAGACGCGTCCGAGTCCCCAATTCGCACCTTTCCCTACAACCACCACCACGCGAACCCGCGCTCATCCAATACTGCTTCTCAGTCACGAGCACTGCGCGGAGAATTCCTGACGGAGATACACCGTGTGCTGCCGGACCTCATCTGTTAGCATCCAGGCCCACACCTGCTCTACTCGTCCTCGATCGCGTCTGCCAAGACGAACGGAGGTTGCACGGAGCCTGCAGCGAAGCACGCTGTACCACGCAGCCTCATGCCCAAGACGTTCCAGCCCGCGGACGCCCATGTGGGAGATAGAGAGGTGTGCGTTGTGATCAAGAACGGCGTCGAACGTGAGTGGCCCACCTCGTTCTGCGGAATGGACGCTACATGAGGCGACACGACCGTGCAGAGCAAGCTCACGTCCTCGAGCGCAACGAAGAAGACGTCTACGTGCATTACGTCAATACGGACAAACGCCTGGACGAGTGGGTCGCTGCGCGCGACGTGCGTCCTGCGGCAGGCGGCCTCGAGGCGGCCACGGTCACTAATGGCGCGGGCCGCAAGAGGAAAAGAGGCTCTCTTGCGGGGGAGGGCTCGCGGGGAAATGGCTCGCCCAGCAAGTCAGATGCCGGCGCAGTGACGGTGAAGCCGGAGGAGCATGACGGCGCAGTCGCGATCACGGAGGAAGAGTACGACATAGAGCACCACCAGCAGATCACCGCAAAGAGGAACTTCGACAAGGTCGTATTTGGGCGGTGGCAGATCAAGACGTGGTGCGTCTCCTATCCCCTGCGCACTGCGCGCTGCGCGCCCTTTGGTGATGCTGAAACGGGGACAGGTACTTCTCGCCCTACCCTCTGTCCGAGGCTGAGGCGGACGACGGCGGCACGCCGAGCGTGCACACACCGCACTCTGCTGCAAAGATCCCGGGCGTTTCGCGTGCCTCGATCCGCGCGCACGGGCGCACTTCCGACCTTCTCGCAGGGGGCCTGGGGCGCAGCCACGGGCACACAGGCCAGCACGCGACGCTGTGGGTCTGCGACCGGTGCTTCAAGTACATGGCAGAGGGCGTATCTTGGGAACTGCACGTCGTGCGTACGCATAACCTGAGCATTACGTCCCACCGCGCTGACGGCCGCCAGGTGGTCTAGAAAAAGTGTGGCCGGCGAAGTCCGCCAGGGCGTAAAGTCTATCAGCGCGGCGCACACATCATCTGGGAGGTCGATGGGGCGAAGGAGAAGGTGCGTGCCCTTACCCCGCAGGTTCCCGCATCGATCGGGCATTGATAGAGGTGCAATGTGCGCCGGCTAGCTGTACTGCCAGAATCTGTCCCTGTTCGGCAAGCTCTTCATTGACATAAAGACCCTCTTTTTCGACTGCGACAACTGTAAGCACCCGTTGTGTCATCCTTCAGGCGGCGCTAGCTGACGCTTCGCGATATCGCGTAGTCTTGTTCTACATCCTCACAGACGCGGACTCGCAGCGCGACCATGTCCTAGGGTTCTTCTCGAAGGTGCGGAGCGGACGCACTCAGGGACCCAAGTCCGGCCGCTGATCGTCTATGCCCTATAGGAGAAGGTGTCGTACGATGACTACAACCTAGCCTGCATCGTTGTGCTTCCGCCTTATCAAAAGAAGGGCTACGGCATGCTCCTCATCGAATTCAGTCAGTTATTCCGCACCTGCTCCTCTGCGGCCCGCGCTGTTAGGGTGCAGACGCCACCGTGGTCATGTCAGCGCGCTGATTTTGCGATTTCGCGGATTAGGCTACGAGCTCTCCCGGCGTGCGGGCAAGGTTGGCACGCCCGAGCGCCCGCTCTCCGACCTGGGGCTACGGAGCTACCTCACGTACTGGATCTCGACGCTCGTGCGCTTCTTCCGGTGCGTCTCGCTACCCCGCTCGGATGTATCTGTGCCCGCTGACTCTCAATCCGTGTGTGCCCGCGCTCCACGCAGACGGCTGCTGTCGGTGCTGCCTCCAGACACGGCGCAGGTCGTAACGACAGGCCCGGTCGGCGACGTCTCAGATGCCTTCGTGCAGTCGCCCGCCCGTGACACCGAGGACGGCTCGTCCATTTCGCGCACGAAGAAGCGGAAGAGCACAAAGGGCTGGGACGGCGAGGAGATCCCTGCCGCGGCGCGCGCCCTGCGTACCGCGCAGGCGAATGACATGAACGGTACGTTTATCATGCATATATCCGGTACATCTTCCCGGATGCTGATGTTCCGGCCACCCCCCTGTAAGACCCAATGTGGGCGTCACTGCGTGCGCTGGAGACGACGGCGCATGCGGACGGGAGCGCAACGACGCACGTCGTCGTGCGCTGCACGCTCGCGGACGTTGCACGCGCAACAAACTTGCGCGTCGAGGACGCCGCGTTCGCGCTGAACGAGTGCGGCCTGCTCGTGCGCCGCCGCGCGGACGACAGCCCGGTCCCCGTTAAAGTATCAAATGGGGACGACGGCGAGGAGGACGGGGAAGATGCAAGCGAGGCGAGGGCGGTGATTGCGGTGACGCGGGAGATGGTCGAGGCCGTCGCGAAGCAGCGGGACGTGAAGCGGATGTGCATGGACCTCGCGCACGTTCTGCTCTGACTCTGACCCCGCGGGGAAGTGTAGGCGGCACCCTGAGCAAATTCTGTTTTAGTTCGGACCCTCGGGGAGGAGGGGGACGGTCATGGGTTGTAGGCGTGTGTGTACGCTTGTATGAAGGCGTGCGATGGTAATTGAGATACTGGGCCGACGTCCCGAGTGTGTCGGGCAACGATCATTAAGATCGCTGCGCCTGTTCGCGGAGAGTTCAGGTGCTCTTCTGTCGTTCTCAGACCCTGCGCGGGGGGCGATTGTGCGAACCCTCTTGTCGCCGTCGATAATTATAGCGGGAAGCTAAAGCAAGTGCGGGACGATCTGCGCCGTAGTGGCGCCCCGCGAGCAAAGCAGTTTTCGTCGTTTCAAGCAGCCGCATTGGTGCCGTGGACATATTCCGCCTAGTGCAATTTACACCGGATCTCAGCAGGGTGGATAGTGTACATCGATTCAACCGACTGAGAAGATTATCATCCTGCGAAAGCGGACTGTAGCAGCTCCGTGCTGCGGACGGAGATGACATCGAGAGACCGTGTAAAAAACATGCGGCATGGGCTTGCGTACTGATCGTGGGGCGTGCATAGCATAGGATACAGAGTACGGGTACGGCGGGTGGTGGATGGTGCGGGTGAGCCGAGGTGAGAAGAGGTTTGTCCTGTTTACTGGAGGACGGGGGCATCGTGCTCGACGGCGAGGATCGCCTGCCTCTTCTCCGCCACACGGGTAGCGCGACGCTCGCGGGCAGCCTGGACGTGCCATCAGTATCCGCAGGTACTCGATCTACCGTTATCTGACGAACCTTGTTCTTGACACGGCGGGCCTCCATCTGGTCAGTGAGGACCTTGGTGCGGGACTTCTCAGCCTTCGCCTTGTGGATGTACTCCATGAGGACACGCTTGTTCTTGAAGACGTTACCCTTGGACTTCTGGTAGAGCGAGTGGTAGCTGGAGCGCAGGCTCGCGCGTGAGAGGGCTATCACCTGACCAAAAAATGTGTTGCAGACTCACAGGTGCTTGTCGATCTTGCCCGCCTCCCGGTACTTCCTCAACAACCGACGCAGAACCCGCTGTCTCCTCATCCACTGGACCTTCGTGGGCATACGGGCATCGGCGGTACCCTTCCTCTTACCGGGGCCAGTGTGGCGACCCTTGCGCTTCGCAGCGAGGAGGTCCCGAGTGCGCGCACGCGAGTGGACGGTGGTGGGCTTGATGATGATACGGCCGTCCTTGATGAGCTTCTTGACGTGGGTGCGCGAGTTGGCGTTTCCGATCTCAGCCTGCTCATTGGGGTCGAGCCAGATTTTTCTCTTGCCGACGCCCGATACGGATGCGGCAAGGCGCTTTTGAGACCGGAGGTTGACCATGGCGGCTGCGAGAAAAACGCGGAGACGGACGAGGAGACGTCAGAGGTTTGTAGGTCGACGTCGTGGGGCACAGCGAGCTCACCTTGTTCTTGAGGGGGGTCGATAGGGAGCGTGTGGGCCCAACAGGGTGTGCGACTGCTGGACAGAGATTACGTGAGCAAAGCCACTCGGAAATCGCCGAAACCTTATGCGGGTCAGCTGTACAGCTCCGGCGGTCCGGGAGGATGGGCGCTCGTCCAATCGGTCGTTTGTACTTGTCTTTTCTGGGCTGTCACCTCTCTGCTGCTTGCGTGCTGGCTATTGCATTTTCTGGAGCAACGTTGCGCGACTCGATGCATCTTCGCCTCGTCTCAACTCGGGCCTTCGGTTGATTGAATTCCATCTTGCTTCTGGCTGGGCACAGTTCCTGGGTGGGCGTCCGGCTACTTGCAAATGGCACAGAGCATCCTCGTTTGAGCCCGGATCTATTGGCGTGGTATCGTACGGTCGCAGGTCTATCAACCGAAGACGCTGGAATGTCGTACTTGCCTGTCGACTGGCCCGCTATGCTGACGTGCGCTACGCGGTGGGCGAGAAGGCTGCGCATGGCGGCATTCCCTGCTCCGCACAAGGGAAATGCTGTCTCGACTTGTCTGGAAGGCTCTCAGGATGGTCCCGAGTCTGCCCGATGACGGCAAAGCACTCTCACTGGCCGAGCTCGGGGAAAGCTGATGGCTGTCCTGGGTCTCAGCGGACGTCTCTGGTGACCTCTGCGCTGAGGCTCTCGCACATTGTTCGGCATCGCTGGGTGCCTGCACGACGTGGGTTGGGGAGAGCGCAATGACGCGTCTCGGGCGTTCTGGGCGGACGGCCGAGGGGGGAGAGCCAATCAAGTGGCGTTGGGAGGGATAGGTCCGGGTCTATAGCGAAAAGCCCGCTTGGGGAGATTCGTTATCTCGGACGCTCTACAGACTCTGGGATCATGCACAGTTCGCCTTCGCTGTATGCTACACACATGAGAGACGAGTTTAGCTCGGGAAATGAAGGGGCTTCTATCAGATTCGTGGCAGGAAATGGCAGGCGGAATCAGCGGAGGGCGAGGATTCACGGGACAGAGGTGCGGTTCTGAGACGGGGCGTTCGCGCGCAGGGATCACCTCGTGTGCGACGAGAAGGGCGGCCAGGGCCGATGCCCACGGCGTAATGCGACGCGGATGTCGATGTCGCCAGCGCTGTCGTAAGGCGGCGAGCACCGTGGTCAGACGGCTTGAGAACGTGCAGCGCGGCATTGGGCCGGCCGTGCGCTCGGCGGGGGCGTGGAGGGCGTTGGCCGCGGCGGCAGAGGAGCAGTCGCTCGCCTGGAGAGAGTCGGGCGGAGACGAGGCAGGCCGCGAGGACAAAAGATAGACGCCGCCAGTGAGGAGGGGGCTTAGGTCAGCAAGGGATAAAAACGAATGGGGGGTGGCGCTGAACACGGTTTTGCTCCGGTTCGTCTGCTGCAGCCCTCCGACCGATCCTCTCCCTCCGCCGCGTCCTCCAGCCCCCGGTATATCAGCTCCGGCGAGTGGGCACGCCCCCCGCCCGCCCTCCCTCGCCACCCGCAACGCAACTTTTGTTCTCCTCACACCCATTCGTATCCTGCATACCGTCATGATATCTCAATAAACGCCTTCCCGCCCGACGACCACAGCTCCATTCGCCCGTCTGCTCTCTTAATCGCCCGTCCCTCACATCGCCTTCAATCCCGACTTCCTTCCCTCCTACGACCTCCCACACCCACCGCCCACCTCCACCACACATGGCCGATTCCACAGACACCACCCAAACCGAAGGCGATAGTCCCGAGGGCTCAGACAAACCGCCGCATGGTTGGTCCCCCGCTCCATATCCTTTGCATTACTCACCCCTCACCCTGTCGACGCGTAGCGCAACCCAACGGCAAGTCACGTTCCCGCCGACCCTCCGCCCACGGCAGGGCTTTAGCCACAAGCGATACCCCAGAGGTAAACCCACACATACCTCTTCCGCCGCCCGACACCCATTTGTACGACAAGTCTCCCGGCCATACCCGCAAGAGTCTGGAGGACATTGAACGCCTCGGCAAGTTCGACAAGCTCACCATGAACGGCGTCGCCCCCCACCTCAAGCACAACTCTTCCTCCACGACCGGCTCCATCACGCCCTCCTCGAGCGAGTCCCCCTCCGCCTCAGAATGCGAGAGCTGGAGTGTGCCTTCCACCCAGCCGCCCAGCAGGGCTCCCAGCATGTCCGCTGGGGTCTCAGGGGGCAAAATCACCGCGCCTGTCAAACAGCCGACGTCCAAGGTTGCGCCGAAGAAGGAACTTCCTCCTCCCACGGCCCCGCGGATATCGCCGACTCTCTCCGCAGGAGATGAGAAGTCCTCTCGCAAGGGCCCACCCTCCGTCCACTCCGACAGCGGCGGTCAGAAGTTCACACTCAAGGACCTGCTCGGCGCCCCCAAGCTCGTCCGTCGCTCCTCGGCCCGCTCCAACGCCAGCAGCAAAAAGTCCAATTCAGATCGCGATGGGCGCTCGGACGCCGGGAGCACCGTGAGCCTGCTGAAGAAGTATGGCGTATGCGAGAAGGTGGCGATCGGGAAGGGAGCGACCTCCGTCGTCCGCTTGGCCCACAAGTGGGATCGCTCGGAGGAGAAGCTCTACGCTGTCAAGGTACGTCGCCATATCGGTACGCGACGAGCATGACTAATGCATCCGCTATGTAGGAGTTCCGGAAGCGGAGAAAGAACGAGACGGAGAAGGAGTATGTCAAGAAGCTCACCGCGGAGTTCTGCATCTCGTCGACGTTGCATCATATCAACATCGTCGAGACTGTCGACCTCGTCCAGGACGAGGCCCAGCACTGGTGCGAAGTCATGGAGTTCTGTCCCGGAGGCGACCTATATGCGGCGATCAAGCGCGGTGGCATGTCCCCGAGCGAGGTCGAGTGCTGCTTCAAGCAGATCTTGACCGGTGTCTCCTACCTTCATAGTCAAGGTGTGGCTCATCGCGATATCAAGCCGGAGAACCTGTTCTTCGATATGCAGGGCCACTTGAAGGTACGTCCGGAGTTTGGCTGATCTGCGACAGCATGAAGCTTACTCGTCGGATGGCAAGATTGGAGATTACGGCGCATCGACCGTGTACCGCCTCCCTTGGGAGTCGACCATACACATGTCTACGGGGCTCTGCGGCAGCGAGCCATACATCGCCCCAGAGCAGTTCCTGGGCAAACGTAAGCACCCTATTCGCTTTGCGCATCTATCTGTCTCTGACCGATCAGAATCTGGGCATGTAGCCTATGACGCCCGGCTGGTCGACATCTGGGCGTGCGGCATCGTGTACTACTGCCTGCACTTCCAGGAGCTCCCGTGGACGGTCGCGCAGCCGACCGATCAGCTCTTCTCGGCGTATGTTGCCGCATGCAATACCCCGTCGCAGTCGGCGTGCCCTCCTACGATCAACAACCTCTCCCCGCGCGCGTGCAGACCGCTCATCCGGAAGATGCTCGAGCCCAATCCGAAGCTGCGTTCGCTCATCGAGGACGTAATCAAGCACCCTTGGATTCAGGGCATCGAGGTCTGCCACCTGGCGGAGAAGGCGACGCACAAGCACAGCAACGCGGCGTTGATGCAGACTGCGCCGGTGTCGTACGTGTCTTGAAGCCTCATGCCTCCATGCTGCGTGTTACGTAGGTTTCCGTCTCGACCGGAGGCTGCGACGCGACCGCTGTCGTTCTCGTCCCGTCTTTTCCCGCCTTTGTGTCCTTCTTGACTCTCATGCACGACCCATTGGCCCCGTTCTCTTTATTGCCTTTCTGCCGCTTTTATTGCCACGATGACCCCTTGATGTAGAAGTAGTACTTCCCCCCTTATTGAACGGCTCGTACCTGTGCTCGGCGGGCTTCGTGGCGGGCTTTGCGCGCGCGCTCACCTCTGTCGCTTTGGGGGCTGCGGGCTCCTTGGCACTCACTTTGGCGTGGACGGTTGCGAACGGGCTTCACGACCTTGACAAGACTCGGCATGTTGTAATGATAACGACGCTTGTACCGTAATGGATCGCATAATCCGATTGTTCTTGCGCTCACAAACGTTGGCACGGTAAGAAATCCAGCACAAGCGCACAGAGTATGCCTAAGCAGCCTCACGTTGTTTGCCAAATGCAAACAACTTATTGAATCGATTATAAATCATTATAGCAGTCGATGACGTTAGGGCGTTTGTTTACGCTGGTTAGGCTACAGCCTCGGATCCTAACAAGGGCAAACAAGTATATGGAAACACCTCCGGTCATTCGGGTTGCGCCATCAGAACCTTGCCCAGACTGCGGATACCACCGTCCGATCCCCCACCATGTCCCACAACTTAGACGTGAGTGGTGCATAGTGATACATCCACCGTATGTGCTGCTAACTGTTGAAGTCAGCGGGCCATCGAGATCGTGCAGCGCGCGATCGAGGAGGACAAGGCGAACAACTACGATGAGGCATACAAGCTGTACTCGAACGCGCTCGACTACTTCATGCTCGCACTCAAGTGTACGCGTCTTTCTTTTGCGTGTGTGGGGGCGCGTCGCTGAGGCCGAGACGCGCAGATGAGAAGAACGAGAAGTCGAAGACGTTGATCAAGGGCAAGTTCACGGAGTACCTCAACCGCGCGGAGACCCTGAAGGAGTACCTCTCGAACAAGGACGACAAGCGTGCGAAGAAGGCAGTCGGCGCGAATGGGCTCGCGAACGGCGGGCCTGGCGGCGGGGGCAAGAAGTACGTCTGTTCAGACTGGCTTGGACGCGTCCGGGGAGCTCACAGAGCCACTCGCGCTTGACCTTTGTTGCTGCTGCGGCACAGGAAGGACGATGACGACGAGACGGACCCCGAAGTGAAGAAACTGCGGGCAGGCCTGCTGGGGGCGATCGTGTCGGAGAAGCCGAACGTGAAGTGGGAGGATGTTGCGGGGCTGGAGTCGGCGAAGGAGGCGTTGAAGGAGGCGGTGATCCTGCCGATCAAGTTCCCTCATCTGTTCACTGGGAAACGCACGCCATGGCGGGGTATCCTGCTGTACGGCCCGCCCGGGACGGGTAAGTCGTACCTGGCGAAGGCGGTCGCGACGGAGGCGAAGGGAACGTTCTTCAGTGTCAGCTCGAGTGACCTGGTGAGCAAGTGGCAGGGAGAGTCCGAGAGGTAAGTCTTCTTTAAGACCTCTACGTGCGTTGCCGTGCTCACAGGGCGTGCGTGCACATCGTAAAGATTGGTGCGGAATCTGTTCGAGATGGCACGCGAAAACAAGCCCGCAATTATCTTCATTGACGAGGTCGACTCGCTCGCGGGTACGAGAAACGAGGGCGAGTCGGAGGGTTCACGGCGAATCAAGACGGAGTTCCTGGTACAGATGAACGGCGTGGGACACGATGACACGGGCGTTCTCGTGCTCGGCGCGACGAACATCCCATGGCAATTGGATAACGCGATCAAGCGAAGGTACCGAGTGCACCGTGGTCCCGCGGCGCAACGCTTTTTGACACAGCTACGTCAGGTTCGAGAAGAGGATATACATTCCCCTCCCGGGCCCGGAAGCGCGCAGACGAATGTTCGAGCTGCATGTCGGTGACACACCCTGCGAACTCTCGAACAAGGACTACCGACTCCTGGCGGATAAGACTGACGGGTGCGTCATAGATGCGTTATTTCGGCGAGCAGCTGATTCTCATTTCCGTCCAGGTACTCCGGGTCGGACATTGCGATCGTGGTCCGTGATGCGCTCATGCAGCCGGTCCGCAAGGTTCTTTCTGCAACACACTTCAAGTATATGGACGACCTGAAGAAGTGGACGCCATGCTCACCGGGGGACCCGGACGCCGATGAGAAGGCATGGACCGACATTGAGAGCGATGAGCTCCTGGAACCGCCGTTGCGCCTTGCCGACTTCTTGAAGTCGCTGGACAGCGTCAGGCCGACGGTCACCGCGGAGGATATCAGGAAGCACGACCAGTGGACACTAGAGTCCGGTAAGTTAAGCTTCTGGTACCTTGAATCTGAGGCACAGGCTAATAAGTTCGCCAGGGAACGAGGGTGCATGAGCTTATGTTGTATTATTTCTGTTGTACTATTGCGCTATCCATCTCGGGTTAAGGAACCGGACAGCACCGACGTGACGCATTGTGGGCGGGCGGGCAGCACCCCTTCCTCTGTCAACCGGCACGCCCTGTTCTCGTCGGCACCGACTACATCGCTAACGAGATGTGCACCTTAAGAGCGCCCAACCCTGATCGTCGGGAGCAGTGGGTGCTTCCCCACGCACTTCGTCCGCAAAGTCCACGACGCGCGTGCGAGAGCCGCGAGGCACGGTCTGGCTTGCGCATGCCTCTTCTCGGTGCGTCCTGGACGGCGCCTCCACTTGGACGCGTGCGCTCATCTTCTCGATACATTCTAGACTTAGCTGCTCGCCCTGGGAACGACAAGGTCAGTCTCGATCACGGCGCACTATGCCCACTGAGGGCGCGGTGACGTTCCAGCTTGCGTTCCTCGGCGCACGGCTGGTGCGTAGATGCTGTTCTAATTCATCCGCGCTTTCTCCACGGCGCTGTCAGTTTCGCTAAGGCGCTCTTCCTCCTCTCCTCCTTTTGCATCTCGGGCCTGGGTCAGTCAGGGGGATGATGATTTGTAAATGGCATTGGCTGAGTGCTCGGCAATGCGGACATGCCGTAGAACTCCTCAGCGTCGCGGTATAAAAGACCGCCTGCACAGACAGTAAGGCCTCAGATCCTCAACGACAGCCTTGAAACACAGCTCAGCCACCACCCCCTACATCCACGATGCTCTTCACTACCACCATCTTCACCTCCCTCTTCGCAGCCGTGGCCTCCGCTGCGGTCCTGCCACGCCAGCCGGCGACCATCTGGCCGAGCCCGTTCTCGGGGACCATCATGGCCCCTACGGCGGACCAGGCGATGGCGTTCGGCGTCGGCTTCCCGTTCGACTACCAGGTCTCAAGCTGGTGCGAGCCTGCGTTCGCACCGTTCACGGTGTACCTTACTTCTGGCGCTGCGCCGCCTGTGTTCGACAATGTCACCGCCGATGGGGCGCTGGCGGACGGCGCGTTCGTGTTCGCATTCGGGAAGTTCGTCGTTTCGCGCTTCGGTAAGTTCCTGAGCGTTTGAACACGTTATTGTGCTGGACTAACGCTGGTGCTTGACTGTGTGTAGGTCTTCCGCAGGAGGGAACGCCCCCACCGACGAGTCTCACTATGCCGGCTGTCGATGATCTCGCTCTGGACCTTAGTCCCGAGACACACTTCTTCCTCACCGTTATCGAAGAATTCGATGGCTGCCCCGTACGTCCGCCTCGTTCACGTCGTTGACTACCAGCGACTGATTACATCGTTTTGTTTCGGCAGGGGAGCATCGCTGTGGAATACGGCATGACTTTTGTCCAGCTCTCGTTGGGCCTCGCAACATAATCCATGGAGGGAGAAAGCATATGGGCATATTCACGATGGGGACATTAGGTTCGTTGCTGTGCATCGATGTGGCACATCTTCAGTTCAATGCGCTGATTATCACGCACCAGGGATGCTTTTGCGTTTGACTTTTGACGGTTCAATGGTATCCGGCTTGATAGAAGCGTCTGCGGACACGCGGACATACTTTTATAGAGACGCTTCAGTCCACTCCGGAACTCGTGTTCTGTCGTGCTTCTGCCGCCGGTCCATGGTTCCCTGCCGTTTGTTGGCGGTAGGTTGACGCTCAAGACGTGAACAAACGCCTTGGTCGGGTAGTCGCACCCGGCCCCGGCCACCACTCAGCACCCCAGGCTTTGTAAGTCGATACGTACACTTCTCAGCCCGTTCCATTCGAGGATTTTGCGAGTTCACCCAGTCATCCGCCATCCATCCGGCTTCGATTACCAGCTATCCCAGGCAGAGCTGTGGTGGACAACGATGAGTTGTCGATGGTCTATGGCACAGAGAGTGACTCTCGCACGTGCCGCGCGCTTTGCGCGCCATCCGACGCTTTGCGCGCCATCCGACGCTTTGCGCGCCACCCGACGCTTTGTGGCCGCTCGCGCGCGACTTGGCCTCGCGCCATGGCGTCGCGCTTGGTCTCGTAGACGGCTCGTTCCCCAGCTTGGACTTTACATTAGTATATATAGTATACAGACTCTCTCCCTTCCTCTCCTCACCTCCCTTCTCACCCGCGCGCTCGAAAGGTAGTGTAGCCTGCTCGTCTCTACACACCTCCCTTCTCACCCGCGCGCTCGAAAGCTCCGGCTACGTCGAGCTCGTTTTCTTCACAGGTCCATCACCGTGCCGCCCCGACGCGCACGCGGTCCTGACGGCCGTTTCCTCAGCACTACATCAGCTTCCGCATCCATGTCCCAGCAAGGCACCGCCGGTGCGGGCCCGTCCAGCCAACCGGACACCACTCCCGAAACCTCCACGGTCCCGGGGCAGACCCCGCAAGCCATCACCCTCACTCCCGATCAGCTCGCGCAGATCATCGGGAGAGCTCTCCAGTCCGTCACTCAGCTGCAAGCAGCACCCAATGCCGACCCTCCTGCTGCCGCAATCACTGCAGCGTCATTCCCTCAATTTGTTCCTCCGCCGGATGCTGCTGCCGTTACTGGTACGTCACTCCTCGATCAATTCCCGTCGGTCAAGCAGAGTGTCCTTTTGGAGATCGCCCGACACGAGTTCGAGCCGAGCGATCTCTACAAGCTCGACTCGAAGTATCGGGATAAGGCAGGCCGAGGCAGCCTTCTTGAGTTGAATGGTAATCGCATCACGCTGCGCGATTCCACCACGAAGGACTACCCCACGCTACACTCGCTTTTCCCACCCCTTGTTACCTACTTCGACATCCTCTCCGCGTTCGCGGCCTCCAGTGGAAGCACCGCCGCAGTGCTGCAGGTTTCTCGTGGCGGGCTCCGATATCTCTCCCAGCTGGAGGCTTTTCACGACGAATTTCAGTGGTCTGCCGTTCTCTCCTATCACATGGAGTTCCATCACGAGCGGCTTCGCGAAATGGCACGCGGCGACTATTCAGGCTGGGCACGCATCGACGCATCGCTCCAGGTTAAATACCTCATCGGGAAAGAACGCGCCCGCGTCTCTTCAACAGCCCCCCGCGACCGGGCCCTGCCAAAGCGCGACGCTTCCGCCGAAATCTGCCGCCTGTTCAACCGTGGCCAATGCCAGTCTCCATGCCAGCACAAACGCGCCCACAAGTGCTCGAGCTGCAACAGTACGGAGCACGGCTCCTCCACGTGCAACAAAACGACCTGAAACGTCGGCAGGACGAGCAGCACATTTCCTAGTGCGCCCTCGCCCACTGCTCGTCCTGGCCCGAAGGACGAGACCCTCGGAATCCATCCCCTGCCTCGCGATCCGCTCGCCTCACTGCTACCCCATTCTTCACTTTTCCCTCCTGGGCCTCCGCCGGCCCCTCGCCCCAACACAGACCCTCGCTGCAACTCCATTCGCCTCCGTTCCGACGACACTCAGCCGGTGCCATCCTCTCTGCGCAGGGACGCTTGGGCACGCCACTTAGCCGACTATCCCGACCGTCATTATGTAGAATCCTTGCTTCACATAATAGATTATGGTGCTTCTTTGGGATTCTCAGGCCCCAGCGTGTCTCAGTCCTGCAAGAATTTGCACACCGCCCGCGAACACCCGTCCACTGTCTCCGCCGACATAGATGCCTTGCTCCTCCGCTCCCGCCTCCGTGGCCCATTCCCCTCACCGCCGCTGGCCCCCGGGCCCTTCCGCGCCTCCCCCTTAGGCGTTGTTGCACGTCCGCGCAATCCCTCGAAGCTGCGCGTCATCCACCATCTCTCATGGCCCCCGGGCCAGTCCGTGAATGACGGCATACCCGACTCCGAAAGTCACATCTCTTACGAGTTCTTCGACTCGGCGGTCTCCGAGATCCGCCACCACGGGCCAGGCACCCTCCTTGCCAAACTGGATCTCAAGGACGCCTTCCGTCACATCCCTGTACGGCAACAGGACTGGCATCTTCTCGGTTGCCACTGGCTTGGCTCATTCTACTACAGTGTTGTCCTCGTGTTCGGTGTAAAATCTGCGCCCTACATCTTCAACCTCTTCGCCGAGGCTCTCCATTGGATCATCCAACGCCACATCCCAGCTTCTCTGCGCCACTATCTCGATGACTTCCTCCCGATCTTCTCGCCCTCTACCCCCCTTCCCACCGCCCAGGCTGCCGTCCAGTGGATGATGTCCCTCGGAGAGGAACTCGGCCTCGAGTTTCAAGGCACCAAAACTATTCTCCCATGCACATCTCTCGAGTTTCTGGGGCTAGAACTCGACACCGATGCCATGGAAGCCCGCCTCCCAGTTGACAAGTTGGAATATCTCCGTAACCTGCTATCTCTCTGGGATGAGAAGCACACCTGCCGCCTCCGGGAATTGCAGAGTCTTATAGGCTTCCTGCAGTTCTCCTCTCAAGTTATTCCCCACGCCCGTGCATTCACACGGCGGCTCACGGAATTCGCCTCAACTTTCTCCTCCCCTCACGCCATGCGACACATTCCCGCCTATGCTCGCGCTGACCTGCGTTGGTGGTCGGTCTTTGCTTCTTCCTGGAATGGTATCCGGCTCATCCAGCCGCCCCTCCCGACTGTCCATGTCTACACAGACGCAAGTGGCTCGGAGCGCAAGGGCATCGGCGGAGTGTTCGGTACCTCCTGGTTTGCAGCCCGAGTTCCTCGGCGATTCCGCAAGCACGATATTCAGTTCAAGGAGCTATATGCCGTCGTGCAGGCCACGCTCCGCTGGGGGCACCTGTGGAAGCACCAGCACGTGGTCTTTCACATCGATAATGAAGTCATAGTCTGCGCCATCGAGACCGAGCGTAATCGCTCGCGCGTTACCATGTCCCTCCTCCGCCTCCTGCTCATGCTTTCGGCCTGCCTCGAATTTTCATTTTCTTCCTCTTGGCTCTCCTCGAAGCAGAACGCGCTCGCTGACGCTGCTTCTCGTTTCCAATATACCCGACTATTCCAGCTCGCACCATCCCTGTCCCCCAAACCCTCGACGCCGCACCCCCCGAACATTGGTATGAAACGCATGCTCACTACTCCCGCGCGGTTGCCTTCTACCTCTGGCATGGCCTGGCCACCAGCACCCGGAAGACTTACTCCACCGGACAACGCTCCTATATCGATTTCCTCCGCCTTCACCCCGCTCTTCACAACACCGATGGCTCGTTCTTGCCCGCCACCCGGCACGCCATCATGGAGTGGGTCGCCTTCCTTGGCGGCCGCAGCTTGCAGCCCAAGACGATTAAATCCTACTTGTCCGCCGTTCGTTCCCTCCACGTCGACGCTGACCTGCCGTTTGAAGTATGCGAGTCCCCTGTCGTCCAGCGCCTCATCCGGGGAATCAAGCGCTATCACGGCGAACGTGCACGCAATCCAAAGCTCCCCATCACTATCGAGCTCCTGCGGCGTCTATGCAGCCAGCTCGCCGCCAGTGCGAGTCTCTCCGACGTGCTCTTTACGGCAGCCGCGACACTTGCATTCGCCGGCTTTCTCCGCTGCGGCGAATTCACACTAGAGCGTGAGAAGTTCAATCCCGCCACGCATCTCTCCCGTAGCTCGGTGCAATTCCTCCCATCTGGCGACTCCCCCACCCATCTCCTTCTATCCCTTCCCTCCTCGAAGACCGACCCCTTCCGGAAAGGTGTCTCTATCTCCGTAGCTGCGGCGCCAGGCACGGCTACCTGTCCTGTCGCCGCCCTACAGCGCCTTTTTCTCCTTGACCCCCGCCCTCCGTCCTCCCCGCTTTTCTTCGATACCATCACCAATCTTCCACTATCCCGTTCGCATTTTATTTCCTCCCTGAAGCGCCACCTCGCCGCCATTGGACTGGACAGCTCGGCATACTCGGGCCACAGCTTCCGACGTGGTGCAGCCACTTCAGCCGCCACAGTAGGCTACTCCGATTACGAGATCCAGCAGCTCGGTCGCTGGCGGAGTGACGCGTACCGACTGTACATTGATGTCCCGCGCGACCGCGTTCTCCATCTCTCCTCCCGGCTCCATTGGGCCGATTCTCCAGCTCAGCCTTTCGAGCCTCCGGCTCTTCCCTTCGCACCTCCTCCGGACATGGCTTGAGCTCGGCCCCGGGCCGGGGGCTCCACCCCCGCCGAGGTCCCGCGAGAGAGCGGTGGCGACGCGATCCGAATATATTCGCCCGCTTGCCCAGTCACACGGATGAGGCCATAGATGTGGTGGACAACGATGAGTTGTCGATGGTCTATGGCACAGAGAGTGACTCTCGCACGTGCCGCGCGCTTTGCGCGCCATCCGACGCTTTGCGCGCCATCCGACGCTTTGCGCGCCACCCGACGCTTTGTGGCCGCTCGCGCGCGACTTGGCCTCGCGCCATGGCGTCGCGCTTGGTCTCGTAGACGGCTCGTTCCCCAGCTTGGACTTTACATTAGTATATATAGTATACAGACTCTCTCCCTTCCTCTCCTCACCTCCCTTCTCACCCGCGCGCTCGAAAGGTAGTGTAGCCTGCTCGTCTCTACACACCTCCCTTCTCACCCGCGCGCTCGAAAGCTCCGGCTACGTCGAGCTCGTTTTCTTCACACCCACCCTTCCGCTTTCCCTGTTTCCGCTAGATTCCTGTTGCTCCGTCTCATGTATTACTCGCCTCCGCCGGCTTGAGCTCGGCCCCGGGCCGGGGGCTCCACCCCCGCCGAGGTCCCGCGAGAGAGCGGTGGCGACGCGATCCGAATATATTCGCCCGCTTGCCCAGTCACACGGATGAGGCCATAGACTCGTGGATGCTGTGTTGTGTGGGCGCAACATGCGGACCAAGCGCCGGCGCCTGTGACAATAAACGCTGACGAAAAAGGCAAATCGAGCCTATAAGAGGGCGCCAGGGGGGAACAATGGCCTGCTACCACGCACCGACCCACGCACAACGCCACCCGGATTGGTATAAAGGATCAGGTCCGTGCTTCCCTTCCGCAGATCTCTTAACCCCCCACTTACACCCTCGCCACCTGCCGCAGCGATAAACACCTTTCCGTGTATCCCCTCTATTCCGAACATCCCCGAACAATCGAGTACATTGAGAAATGGCCGTCAGTCAGCTTTGGACGCGCACGCCACAAGCGAGCGATGACGAGAAAATGGCGACCTCGGAGTATGAAGAGTACTCCAGCGAGCTTTCTGAGCCAGATAGCACCTCTCCAAGTGAAGAGGGATCGGCTACGCCTGATACTGAGACGTACGACTCGGGCTCCGAAGAGACCGAGTGCGACGAAGATGAATACCGCGATTTCCAAGTAGGTCACAGCCTCTCTATGACGCGATATCGTTTTGATTGACTGGTGGCACCAGCGACGTGACAACGTGTGGGTGAAACCGAAAGGCACCCAGACGTGGTATCAGGGCGTCATTACGAAGATCAAGGAGCCAACGGAACCGTCGCAGGTAAGCGGGTTTCTGCGCGCGTAGCATGTGCTTGACTGACATAAGACTACACAGCTAAAGCGCGGGCCATTATACCTCGTCGTCTTTCGGCGATATCATGCGAATCTCCGCGCATGGTTCTCGCCGCTCGAGGGCAACATGCGGCGAGACACTCCGCGAGATCGGGCTCACATACACAGGGCCTCAGACTCATAGAACCAGGACAGATACTCTCGCGACTGCGCTTCTTACCCCATCCATCTGTACTGTATCTCGACATACCCCGCACGCCGATCTGTACCCTACACATCTTGTATCCCTTATTATCTCCGAGTCCGGGCCATGTAGCAATGTTGTTTCTCAATGCGAACATCTTCACATGCTCCTATATTGAACACGAATTGCTTCTACATACGCCTTCCGAAGTTCATGGAATAAGAACGACTTGCGTTCGGGATAAGTGACTCGAAGAACGGCGCACTTCACTGTTCAGAGTGGGAGTTAAGCGCCCGTTACGAGGAGTACCGTAGTAGCATCCATCGCCAAGTGTCCTTTCGTTCGCATAGAAACCTATGATATAAACACCGTTTTATATGCGCTACGACGTTTGAGATGCAGCCTGCGTGTTCACCGTGCGTGGAAAGTACATACGCCCCTGATGGCTACGAGTAAGGATTCGCGGCCCGTGTGTCACGACGACTTACTCTCTGCCTATAGCATCCACGCATGAGTCATTGCGAATTCAGGCAATATATTCGGAGCTTGACAGTGCCCGAGCTCGATGTGCCGTGGTGGGCCTGGAGAGGCAAGGCCAGGCGCGTCGGCGGCTGCGAGTCGGTGAGCGTGATTGGATAGACGCCCGGTTAGTCCACTCGAGAAGTTGCGCCACAGCTTCACTCCGCCACTTGCCTTCCTCCATCTCCCTTTCTCTATCCCCCTCCCACACCCCATCGTTGGCAGCGATGACGAAGACGTATATCATGAACGGTTTGGTGGAGAAGGTAGTATCGCAGCAGCTGTGATCGGAATTGCACTGACGCACGCGATGTAGATGCAATCCCCAGACCAGGATTTCCGGTGCGTGACCGCAGCCCCGACGCGTCCCCGCGCGTCGCGCATATGCTGACGCGAATCGCGGCAGGTACATGGGTCTGAATGACCTTCTACTGGAGATCAAGCAAGATCCTAATAGCTTCTTGGGCGATGAGGCATCGGAGAACAAAGTGCTCAAGCAGGTGCTCGCGCTCGTGGAGGACAAGATCTCGGAGGTGAAGAACCAGGCGGTCAAATGGTGCGCATGGGATCTTATTGTGCGGCCTGTGTACTGAGATATATTGGGCGACAGTCTAGGACAGCTCATCAAGATCATTCGCGAGTCCCAGATGGAGACCGTCGTGGACAAGCTGATTGAGTTCTCTGCCGGCAAAGATGAGGAGCTCCGGGATATCGCTGGACTAGGTGTGTGGGCAGCATAATTTGGAAATCACGCGCGTTTCTTAACAATACCTTCCTGCTTTCAGCGTTGAAGACTATCACCTCGGAGCTTCCATCCGACGGCAAGATTGCTCTCAAAGCTTGCGAGAAGCTGACGCCCAAACTCCTCGGACAGCTACAGAATGTGGGTGCCGTACTCTGCTGTATGTATTTGCCTTCGCTCGTTAGCTAACTTCATCCCCAGCCGAGCACACCACCAGAGACCCTCATCGAAACACTCTCGATCTTGTCTATCTTGATCAGCCGCTTTCCCGGATACTTGATCGGCCTGGAGGTCCAGCCCATACAAGTACTAACACCTATGCTCTCGCACCCCCGACCAGCCGTCCGGAAACGGGCTATCACGACCCTGGCACAGTTCTTGCCATACTCCCAACCTCAGCACTTCACCGAATTGTTGAGCGCGTACATTGTCCCTGGTCTGACACCATCCGCCAACCTCGAGAAGCAGCGCACAGTTGTTCAGCTGGTTGCGGCGGTGGCCCGTCATTCTCCGCACCAAATCGCAGCTGCTTTGAGCGAGATCGCGCCTAGCATCCTGAAGGACTCACAGCGCGACGACGAGGAGCTGCGTGAGAGCTGTCTGCAGGTCAGTCTAGCGTGTTTCCTTTTTGGACTTCAGCTTATCGTACTCGCTTCTCCCGGTAGGCTTTGGAAGCGCTTGTGCTCAGATGTCCTGGCGAGATCACGCCGTTCCTCAGTTCGACCATCCAAGTCGGCAACCAGTACATCAAGTACGACCCGGTAGGTCGTGCCGTTTTCTTTCATCAACGGTCACTCAATGTTCGCAGAACTATGCCGGCGGTGACGATGACGAGGATGAAGATATGGCTGACGAAGACGATGAGGACGATGAGGAGCTGGGCGATGAGTCAGAGTTCGTGCTGTCTGATCACAAACCGGCTCGCTCACGCCAAATTTTAGGTATGAAGACGACGAAGACACCTCATACAAGATCCGCCGGTCAGCGACGAAGCTCCTTGCCTCTGTTATTGCTACGCGTCCAGAACTGCTCACCACTCTGTACAAGGAGGTCTCTCCAGTGCTCATCTCTCGATTTGGTGATCGCGAAGAAACCGTTCGCCTGGAGGTATGGTCCACCTACAGCGTACTCTTGACCCAGACCGGCGTGTATGGTGGATCACCACAAAGCAACGCGGAATACACGGTAGGAGGCAAGCGTAAGCGTGAAGAAGGCATGGAGGTCGAGGAGACGCCGTACAGCTTACTGCAGTCGCAAGTGCCTTCCCTTGCAAAGGCCCTCCTGAACCAGATCAAGTCGCCGAAGACGCCCGCACCTACACTCGAAGCCGGGTTCTCTCTTTTGCACAAGCTTCTGACTGTCCTTCCTGGCTCTCTTGCGAACCAGTCGGCACAGATTATCGCCGACGCGAAGAACGTCCTCTCCACCTCCTCACGAAGCTCAGCGTCTCTGCAGGTGACATGCATGTCTTTCCTCGCGCTTTTCTTCTCGAAACACCCTCCTGCCGTCTACGCGCCCCAGCTCGAGTCTATCACGCCGTTCTTGCTGCAAGCTCTGGCGGAGAAGCACCCGCGGATCGCCTCTGAGGCTTTCCGCAACTTCTCTGCACTACTCAACGCGATGCAGCCGGTGAAGAGCGGACAGTGGGTCGACCGCGTCTACGACGAGGCCGTGCGACGTTTGAGCAACCACGATACGGATGCGGAGGTGCGTTCGTGCGCAGAGGAGTCTATTGGCGACCTGTGGATCTCCGCGACAGACGTTGTGAAGACGAAGAACAGGAAGGAGTGGGAGTACATTTGCAGGACCACTGGCCGTACCGATGGTGCCGTCAAGGTCGTCACCGAGGTAGCGACGAAGGTAGAGATGGACGATGCGTGGGTGAATGGTTCTGTCGAGTGGGTGTCGACCCTCTTGAAGAAGAGTGGGCGTACGGGTAAGGTGGAGGCGTTCAACTGCTTGGACGCCCTCTTGAGGAGGTAAGCTGCTTCTCCTCTTCGTACAGCACAAACGCTTACCCTGCGTTTCAGATATTCCGCGATCCCAGCTGATCTATCCGCAAACCTCATCCCGACGCTCAAGGCGTACATCATCCCCGCCGACATCCTGCTCCTCGGTGCCGCACTCGACATCATCGCTCTCCTGCTCGAGCTCTCCCCGGTGGCGACGTTCCCCGAGGTCGAGCGCGACGTGCTCACGGACGTCTACGGGATCGCGCACTCGCCGCTTCTCGCGGGCNCGCCGTTCGACTCCGTGCTCGCGTTCTACGCAGCGCTCGTCGAGGCTGACATGCAGATCGCGCCGCATGTCGTCGCG